AGCTATGCCTCAGATGGAAGCTTCTTCAGCTGTGGAAGGAATTTGCCATTTACCAGAGGAGGACCTTTATAGCTTGTCACAGCTTTCAATCATAGCTTTAGCTTTTGATTCTTTAACAGTGGCACATGGGAGCAGGAACATTTTGCATAACCACTTAGCTCAACCTTCCAAGTCGCCTCTGAAAGGAGTGAGGGAGCAGTTTATGCCGGCATGATAGGAAAGAACACTCTGTACTGGTGTTAATAATATCTGCATATAGTTTGCATAACTGAAATCCACAATCATCTTCTTTCCAGCCTTATTGAAATATATTTGACATGTAACACACAATAATATCTATAATATCTTCATCTTAGTTTTGCTTCAGAATTACTTTTCTACCATCCCTATCCCTTACAAGTAATGTGTACCAACATTGGTTTGATTTTAACTTTCCATTTTTTTCTTTTAGTTTTTTTTTTTTTTTTCCCCTACAAACACGAATTGAGCCCCCATTCTGTGTCCGTGCTACATCTCTGGAGGTCCAGAGAACAAAAAATAATGGCTGAAGGTTTTTCAGAGTTGTAGAAAAACATGAGACCTCAGATGGAAAAAGCATGGCCAATCTCAAGGAGGGTAAATAAAATAAATCTACTGGAGTGACTTGGCATAATGACAGTGTACCCAAAATAAATAGAAAATCTTAAAAGCCCGGAGAAAAGACAGATGAAGGACTGTGCAGCTTACATTTCTTAGCTGGAGCCGTTGATCCTATGCCTATCATTCGAGTAGGAGACTGAAATAAAGACCTTTTCAGACATACAGAGAATGGCAGAATTTTTTACCCTCAGACTTGAACTTGAACTAGAAGAATGACTAACAGGCAGACTTTCGCAGGAAGGAAATTGAATCCAGGAGTAAGTTACGCTATTACAGAACAGTGGTGCCTCAGACAGATTGGGCTCATTAATAACCATCTAAACAAAATGGCTGCCTCTGTCTTAGGATTTGAGGACAAACAAGATGTTTTTCCAACTGAGTGTATAAGTACTTAGACTTGGCACTGAGGTTTGGAATTCCTGTGTTTGTGATGAATGATTTTCACTTCAGGCAAGGGTCTGGAATTTAAGCCATCCATGAACATCTTAAAATTATAGGTGACATATTTTGTGCATGTGTAATTTTTCTGCAGACAGGATTCGTGGCTTTCATCAGACACTTAAAGGGGCTTAGAACCTGAGCAAGCTTAAGAACTACTGGATCAAGAAATTGTCCCCTATTGAAATGAAATTACATTGGTACCTGCCCCAAAGTTGAGAAATGATGACCTGAATTTGAATATAGGATCTCTGCAGCACTCTTGAGACCCCAGACAAATGATATTTCTTCTCCCTGTAGTCCATCTGTGCAGTGCACAACCTATGTGTCTGTACATGGCCGTGATGTGTCTTACAAATCACAGTAAGGGTTTGATTATAGCTCTTAGGATTTCTGAAGGGAGTCAGTATTGAGCTATCAGAAGAAATAAAGCTTCTAAGTGACCACTTTGGGGATGTAATCATAGGTTTAGTGCTGCCGTTTTGTTAATGGAGAGCATGTTTTGTGTAACACATTGTCCAGGTATGCGGGATGGGGAGGGTGTTGTGTTCAATCACTCTCTCTCCTGATGAGATTTGATACTAAAACAACTATTAATGGGTGACCTTGCATAATTTGTGTTTTTATAATACAACTGTAATGTATGCTAGAAATGTGCATTTTATATGTAATTTTAATTCCACCTCTCCACTCCTTCAGTAGTTACTTGTTGAGTGCTAGTGTCAGGCTGTTTACTGCACAAGTAAGGTCATGGGTATAGGGTTGAATATGGTGGTGCTGTCCCTGAGGATTACTTTGAATTAGGATGGAGGGTGGCAGGCCGTCACCAAATCCTCAGTCCCGGTCTAAGACCCAGTCAGGTCCAGAGAAAGCCGTGTTGCCAAGAGCCTGACGCATGGGGATCAGCCCGTGGGCGTAACTCCGAACAGAGCAGCGCGCACACTTGGAGGACAGCAGTGGGCTGTCCCAGACCGCCAAACAATTAGGTTATAACTCAACCATGGGCCTCCTCAGACAGCACAAACATCAAAACGTCTGCTTTATGTGTAGAGTGATGATCACAATAAGACGATCTGCTTCTGAAGCTGTTAACGGTCTTCCTCCAAAGCCCAGGCAGGGGCCTCCTTGTGGCTCTGCAGCACCCCAGGCAGGGATGAAGCATCCTAGCGCTGGGACGGGGGCTCCCTGTCCTGCTGGGAAGGAGACAGTCTCCAGTTCCATTTCCTCTCTCAGGACACAGGTGTCTCTTCGAGGGCCCAGGAGGTGGTTTGTCAAATGCTTAACAAAGGTATGGAGAAAGTTGATATGCCTCTTAGAATGGGCCTGGATTTCCTTCTTCGTTGGCGGCATCTCCCTTTTTTTGTGTGTCATGTTGGGAAATTCTCAGTTTGAGTTGATCAGATCATAATCTCTTCTTATTTTAGAAGAAAAACACCCATATAGAGCTTAAATGTAGGGATAAGGACAGCTAGGGTTTTGAGATGGGGCTTTTGTGAAAATTTGGAATTTGGGTGATAATGTAGTCTGGTCTCTGGCCAGCCAGCTTTCCATCCCTGGTTATTCGCAATTATATTAGGACAATTAGATTCTAACTCAAACTTCTGCAAACTCATTTAGAGAGATAAGAAATTCATTTCACTGTATTGTACTCTAAATTGTAAATGAGGCTCAGGACTGATTGTTTAATAGTTTGGGGTTTTAAATTGAAATTTTCTCCCATGTTATTTTATGTCTATATGATTCACCATAAAGATTGGTTTAAAAAGTTTAAAAATGTTGATGCCATTTTGTTCTCTTCAGTTAAATCGAGGTTACTATTTTTAAAAAATTGATTCTGGCTTCTTCTTTCTATCCCTCAAACTACCACTTTCTTTGCCATTCCTAGCACTATTTGAAGAGTTTTATGTAGCCTAAAAATAGAGTAAAATAAGCACAATTTTATTTTTTTTGGAAAAGCTAAAGAAAAGCATAGTTCATGCTATTCTTCCCTGAAAAATGGGAGCCCAAGCGTCTGATCCCATGTTTTTATTATCAGGTTACACATACTTTGAGGTAAATCTATGTGATGAAAGTAATAGCTCTCTTGACCGTGTGCGTGAAGCGTGTATATGCATATGCATGCAAGCACACATGCTGTCACTTGCCATGTGTGTGGACGTTTGCAAGAGCTTGTTTGAGCAACAGTGGGTTTGAATTGGCTGATGGAATGAACAGCAGTGCCTTCCTGTCCATAGAAGGCTGCCTCTCGTCTTTTCTCTAAAGTGTTCCATTGTCTGTTCTTTTCCTGGAAGCCAACAGGTCTTTTTGCTAGCTCCATGACAGGGAGAATGACTTGTGGCTGTCTTGCTTGTGCTTCTCCAGGGTCTTTGCCGTAGGGAGAGGGGAAGTGTGTTGGCTCTGATTCTAGGTCTCCTGGTGAGGCAGGTGGGGGTGAGGGGGCAGAACATCAGCCCCCGAGCTCCATCACTGCCATGGCTCCGTGTGTGCTCTGAGTTGAAGATGTAATGGGTTTAGCTTGCCTTCTGGTCCTGGGACACTCGGATCACTCATTTAACCCACATTCGAGTGTCTGTCCTGTGCCAGGCACAGCCCGAGGAGTGTGCAACACATGAGTGAAAACCCAAGATTCACTGTACTCCTGGAGCTTACATCAGCTCCTTAATAACTTTCGGTTGTCCCCACTTCTGGAGTGAGGGTCATTTCCCCAAGCTGTGGAAGTATTCATGCACTTGACCTTTTTTGTTTTTGCTTTTAGCTCCTAATGTAGCATAACAGATGAGTAAGAAGACATCATTGCTGCCCTCAGGGAATTTGTAAGAGAGAGACAGACATGCCAGCGTGTAAATGCGTCACGACCCAGCAGGCCGAATACAGGCTATAGGAAATGCAGAGGCAATGACTGGGGGAAGGTGGAAGGAAAGAGGGACATGATCTTTGTGATAGGGGTGCCTGCCATTCAGCTCAGCCTTGTGGTCACCTGTGAGCACATGGGGGTCTGGCAGTGGGCCGAGGAGATGGGCTTAGTGGGCTATGAGGGTGGAGGGGAGGGACGAGCAAGGCCAAGTGCCCAGAGGCCACGACTGTAAGCAGACGGGTCAGAGTGTCCCCGGTTGGTGGTGACATGACATCCCCACTGTTCTAGAACAGCTGATGGCCGTGTGGGTTGCACTGAGAGCAAGAGCTGGGGGCAGGGAGATGGCGAGATGATTTTCTTTCCTCTATTCTTTTACTCATTCAACAAAGACTTAGCTGGGGCTTGCCTTGAATTTTTAAGCTTGAGTTGCCAAGCTTAGATGCTACTTTAAGAGGAATGGAGCCAATTTAATGCCCTAACTCATCTTTCAAGCTAGAAGTTTACAGTTTTGTTTCTTTTTGCTGAGTGACCAAAAGGTACCTACGAAGACAACTTCAGGGGGACGGGTGTGGACATTCTGGTCTCTCTCCTCTGCTGGGTTTCTCCTGCTCTTTGCCTCACTCGTCAGCGGTAAATAAAAATGCAGCAATCTGCTCTACTACACGGATAGCTAGTGGGCCTCACAGTGGCTGGATAATTCAAGATGTAATTCAGAGAAAACTGGTTTCATTTATGTTTTGAGATAAGAGCCACAGAGAAAAACTGGAAGAAACAGAATGTGTTGTCTTGACCAAACAATTCCATTGCTCTGGAAGGAGCCAGCCCACTTCTCTTGGCCAAGGAAGGATACTGCATCTTAAACACGTGGTGGTTGTTATTCATTGTACCTTTTTTTTTAAGGTAGGAAACGTTCTTTGGACGGCGTTAAATGCCGCACAGCATAAAAGACGTGATACGGAACAAAGCCTGCAGACTGTGACAAATTGACATGCCCCGGACTAATGAGAAGATGGAGTGTATCTACTCAGAGGCAGAACAAATACTCACAAAGGGTCTCCTTCTCTCCTAGGACTTCCTTCGCTGGGCATCTGGCCGGGATTCTTGTTGGACTAATGTACACTCACGGGCCTCTGAAGAAAATCATGAGAAAATGTGCAGGTACGGAACAAAAACACCTTTGGCCTGACAACGGGCTGGAAGTTCATCTTAATTTTTTTTTTTTTTTTAGATTTATTTATTTATTTGAGAGAGCGAGAATGAGAGAGAGAGAGAGAGTACATGAGAGGGGGGAGGGTTAGAGGGAGAAGCAGGCTCCTCGCCGAGCAGGGAGCCCGATGCGGGACTCGATCCAGGGACTCCAGGATCATGACCTGAGCCGAAGGCAGTCGCTTAACCAACTGAGCCACCCAGGCGCCCCAAGTTCATCTTAATTTTAACGGAAACAGAGGCAACCCGAGGTTTCCCTGTGGTTCCGCTTAGGAATTCCCTAATAGGCTCTTTTTAAACCAAGAGGCAAAACAGCTGGTGCAGTTCCTCACACTGCTCCAAAGAAAAGGCAGCAAACCCAAATTGTAAACCTGAAGCTTTCTTAAGAGACAAATAGCAGTATGTTTACCTTCAGCAGTAACGGCACTCACAGAAAACCGCAATTTTCTTGAAAATACAGAGAACTAAAGTGGGTTTAAAATGATGCATTCTTCTGTAGTATTCCACGAATTAATATATGTGCAAGGCAGAGTTAAAAAAGAAAAACAAATCTGTACTGAAGTGCAAGGCCAGTACTTGAAAGAAGTCAGAATGACCGTTAGGTTCTCGGCAGGCAAGATGAATATTCATGCATGGCCAGAGCAAGTCTCCTATTGCTTGAAGCATGTCTCCTGCTTTTAAAAGTTTTGTTGTTGGTTGTTTTGTTTTGTTTGGCTTTTTTCCCTGTCAAACTGATGCTCAATGAAAATACTTTATTTAGAAATATATGAATTTCGGGCGCCTGGGTGGCTCAGATGGTTAAGCGTCTGCCTTCGGCTCAGGTCATGATCCCAGGGTCCTGGGATCGAGTCCTGCATCGGGCTCCCTGCTCCTGGGAGCCTGCTTCTCCCTCTGCTTCTCTCTCTCTCTCTCTCTCTCTCATGAATAAATAAATAAATCTTTAAAAAAAAAAATACATGAATTTTTTAGCCCTCTTAATTTAAAATGCTGTACTGGCTTTGACTTATAGGAAAACTATTTTGCAAACACTTGTTTTATAGACCATATGAGTTCCAATATTTCATCTTTTATTCATGGGAAATCTTCTGAGACTATTTTACCTTTCCTTGAACCATAAATAATTTGTTTTCACAGTTTGTGCCGGCGACTGGTATTCTTGAGGACTATATAATATTCATGATATTAGAAAGCTTTCCAGGCACTGTGCTGCCGTCTTTATTAGTGGGTTGTGTTCACTTTCAGATGATTTTTACAGGCTCTGTTGCATCTAAACACATTCCCATTTTCCTACCTTTGCTTATTACTGTGTTTTCAATGTGTGTGCTTGGAGGAGGCAGCAGGAACTGCATTTATTGAAAATGTCCAGTTCCATTATATTTTTGATACAACTTAATTGTGGAAATCTAGTAATGAGCTTTGTTGCCCAAATGCTCTCTGTACGAATAAAGGAAAGGAAATGATTCTTGGGAGTTTAATGTTTTCTTTCATTTTCTCTGTGTATCTGAAGTTGAAGTGGTCTGTAAAGCCTTCTGCAGACATTTTATGGAATTTAGGGGAGTATTTTGATTTTAAAGAGGATTTCCCCCACAATTATACCATTTACACTCTTAGCTTTCCTTCTTAAATTAACCTTGCCTACCTTCTATGGAGACTTACTTTTTACATCGTGTCCTTTTCAAAGTAATCCAATAGAAAATTGGACATGAAAAGTCGAAACAAACACCCAGTGCTATTTACAAATAGCCCGAAATCTCTCTGCCTTTTTTTTTTTTTTTTTTTTTCCGGGGAAGCCTGAGAAAGTTCTAGAGTGACCTGAGAATTGAGGCAACACAGGAAGCCTGTGGAAAAGAGCCAAGTGTATGAAGCTGTTGTCTGACAGCTCCTGTAGAAAAGCAGCATTACGCTGAGGGTGTGCCTCTTGCACCCACTGTCTGTCCCTTCAGCAGAGCTGAATTGACGGTCGGTCATACTGCCCTTCTAGGGACAGAGGAAGAAGAGTAAGAACCATGGCTCCTCTAACAGTCTTGTTGGGGGCAAGTCCTCTGGATAGCCAGAGCATCTCTACTGGGATGGGGCCTCAAAGCCCAAGCTCAGTACCTCGGAAGGCAAAGACCCTCTTAGGTCAACAGAAACCTCTCAGGAACTGCAGAAAGAATTGAAGAGTTTCAAGGTTCCCCACATTCTGTTCCCTATAGGGCTAGCCCCAAACAAAAGGGAGTTTAACAGTTGTTTAGAAATCATTTGAAATGACTTGGTTTTGTCATAAAGAACCTCCTAACTGTTGGAAGGATTATCAGTTACTTATGGCTGTTTTGTTCCATTGGTTGATGTGTCTGTTCTTATGCCAGGACCATACTGTTTTGATTACTATGGCTTTGTAATACAGATTGAAGTAGGGAAGTGTTAGGACGGCTGCTATCAGAAAGACAGGAAATAAGCATTGGTGAGGATTTGGAGAAAAGGAAACCCTTGTGTACTGTTGGTGAGAATGTAAATTGGCACAGCCATTGTGGGACACAGTATGGAGGTTCCTCAAAGACTTAGGACTACCTTATGGTATAGCAGTCCTACTTCTGAGTATATATTCAAAGGGAAATGAAATCAGTGTCTCAAAGAGAGATTCGCACTCCCAGGTTCATTACGGCATTATTCAGAATAGCCAAGAGAGGGTGAATGTCCATCAGATAAATGGATAAAGAAGATGTGGAGAGTGTGTGTGTGTGTGTGTGTGTGTATGATGGACTTACTCAGCTATAAAAATGAAAGAAATCCTATCATTTGTGACAAAATGGATGAACCCAGAAGACATCATGCTAAGTGAAATAAGAGAAAGACAAATACTAAATGATCGTGCTTATATGTGGAATCTAAAAAAGGTGAGCTCTAGAATCAGAGGGTACAACAGTGGTTTCCAGGGGCCGGGGACATGGGAGAAATGGGGAGATGTTGGTCAAAGGGTACACATTTCTAGTTATAAGATGAATAAATTATGGGGGTCTAATGTACAGTATAGTGACTACAGTTAATAATATGGTCTTGCATACTTGAAATTTACTGAGAGTAGATCTTATGTTTACACACGCACAATATGGTAACTATGTAAGGTAATAGGGTATTAACTTGATTGTTGTAATCATTTCATATGTGTGTGTATATCACATCATCATGAGATACACTTTTTAAGGATTCATGTTACACAACCTGAATACATGCGGTTTTTTATTTGTCAGTCAGACCTCAATAAAGCTGGGGTGGGGGAGTCCTTAGGGCTACAATTAAAATGTCTGTTTCCTTCATTTAGGCATTTTTTCCTCCAATATGCATTATTACGGACATCAGGACCACTTTAATAGTTCAGGTAAGCACTTATTTGATTTAATGCATTCTGTCTTCAAAACTCCTGGTGTTTGCCGCCATCGAGCTGTGAAGGGTAATACCAGCTTGGCTGCTGTGGAGTCGTCTGCACTTACATACTCATGCCACTACCATGCCTGGAAGCTAGATGGAGCCAGACCCCAGGGAGATATTTGGGTGAACTGGTAGAGAAGGCCAGGGAAGGAGGTCACTCTCACCTGAAGGTATTGTATGATTGGTATGAGGTCTCTCAACTATGGTAAGATTCAGACTAGACCTGGGTCCCTTGATGCTCAGTCTGCAAGTCCAGACTGCCTGCTGAGTGTTAGAAGTCAGTTTCTGATCTACGATTCTCCACATTCCACCCCACCTACACATTCAGGAAGAATCACGCCTAACCTCCGAGGCTAAGATAGGCATTCCTCTAAGAGTTGATGCCATGTGACTTAAAGAAGAGAATATATTTTTTCTAGATGTCTTTGCAAATATGTAGAAGGGACTTCCTGTTCAAGCATCTGCCCTGTTTTAGACGAAGGCCCTTACATTCCATGCTGGGGAGGCTGCCCTCCGGTTCCCAGGGCCAGTTCCAGCAGACAGGAGTTAGAGAAGCCGTAGGCTATGGAAGTCTGGGTGTCTTTTATAGTCATTCCATTGGAGGACCGTTTGATCCCTCTAGCGCTTGTTTTTAAGTCCTTTAAGGTGGGTCTAAAGTAACTTTTATTCTAGGGTTAATTCTGTGCTGCTATTGAGGTATCACTTTTCTGGGATCTCTCCTAAATGGGCTCTCTGTTCTGGTTGGTTGAAAAGCGAAGGTCTCCCAGCCCCACCCAAGCTCCTAGAATTGTTCAGCTCATAGCTCTTTGTCATTCTTTGTCTGGTCCTGTGGCACTTCACTCACACATGTGTGGCTTAATAATTCAGCAACATCTCCAGGCAACCCCTGCAGATTTCTGAAGGTCTTTCTGTACACTTAGTTTTCTCCTTTGCTATTCTCTGCCCTGCAAATTTCAGCTCTGCTCTAGGAGTCTGTTGCATCTGCTGTGTCCCCTGTCCCTATACCACAGTCTAGAAAGTACCTCCAGGCTCCTTTTCCTTTCTCTCAACGTTGAAAATCTTGTATTGCCTGTTAGACGATGTCTGAAAACATTTGTTTCATATATGTTCTCCAGTTTTCTAGCTGATTATGGTGGAAGGGCTAGTTCAGTCCCAGTTACTCCTTCTGGCAGAGGTAGAAGTCTAGTTCTGCAGTATTAGCAGTGTTCAGCCTGAGAGGGAGGAGTAGTGCAGGTTAGTGCAGGTTATTCAGAGGAAGTGGAGGGCAGGGTCTTGAATGAGTAAGTAGAAGTTAAGGAAAGCAATGGGGAAGAAAGGGCTTTTCAGGCTCTTATTAAAGGGCCTGTTTGAGATTATCCAGAATGTGCTGGAGTGCTACTGAAGGATTTAATCAGTGGAGTAATACTATTGGAGTTACATTCAAGCTCTGTTTTTTATGTAGTTATAAAGGCTTGGATCATGATTATCAATCCTGGCTATATATATGAATCTCCTGAGGATTTTTTTTTTCTTTAATATATCCATGCCTTGAATTCATCCCAAACCAATTAAATTAGAATGAGGGTAGAGACAGGAACTTGGACTTTTTTTTTTTTCCAAAGCTTCCCAGGTGATTTTAATGAGATCAAGAACAGAGGCCTAGATGATGGGGTTTACCTAGACCTGGGGGCCACAGAAGTGAATACTGTTGATGCCCAAGAAAAGCCTCACTTCTGAGGCTTTTGCCTCTGCCAATCTGAATGATTAAAACACTAGAAATGTGGTCTTGCTGCAGGAGAGGAATGGTTGTTGGACAGTGCCAGCTCACCTAAAGAGAAGGGTGATGATTAGTTATTGACTAAGCTGATAAATACACTCATTTGGAAGAGTGTCCATTCCTTTTTGTTGTTGGTCCTGGACACCAAGCTTACACTGACTTAAGTATAAGAGCTTTATTGGCCTACGTGACTAGGAAGAGGTGAGTTGGACAGGAAGACCATATTGGTTCTCTCTCCCATTGTGATTTCTCACTTCTTATTGACTTGATTTTCTCCACTTCACAGGGAACATGGCCCCTAACACCTGGAAGTTGGTAGAGGATAAAGGGCTTTTCGCCTGGTTGATTTATTAAATCCCCAAAAGTAACAGAAATGTTCCTCTGGACAAAGAGAAAAAGAACATAACTGTGCACAGACATGCCTTAAACTGTTGTAGATTCCCTAGTCCTAACGTCTTATGTGACAACAAGGAAACTGAAGTTTGGAAATGTTAAGTCATTTGGCTAACATCATACAAATAGTGATAAAACAGGGACCAGAAATGCAACTCACTGATTCCTAGCCTCTGCTTTTTATATATTACAGGGATAGGAGATGGCCATTCTCCTGATTTATCCTTATGAAATAGGACAGTTCCCCTTACTGTCTTTTAGACTTTCCTTTTTTTTTTTTTTTTTGCATTTATTTAAAAAAAAAAGGAAAAAGGGAAACATCTTTTCCTCCTCCGTGTGGAAGAGGCATAAGCCTAGCAGGCACAGACCATAGAATTAAAGGCAAAAATAAAAGCCCCTTTTACCTTTCTCTCTTATCCCCTGTAAGATTACCATATTTATATTCCTTCCTCTGAAGTGACTGGATTTCTTCAAAAGCAGAGCTACATAAGGACAGGTGGCCATGCTAATGTTCATCTAGGGAACTTGTATGAGAGCATATGTATCTCTTACAAGTAATGATTTATTCTTAATATGGCCGTCCTTAGCTGGAAGAGTCTTTATAGGTCAAAGAACCTCATGAATGTTTAAAAAGCTGTTACCAATTTTTCTAATCTTGGTGGTGTTTCTTGATCTCTTTTACCATGAAATCCTGGTATGTGTATAAGGAACAGATGGAGTAGTTAATAGAATAATGATAACCAGAATTTCTTTTACTACAGAGCCAAAGTATATAGCTACAAAAGAATATTAAACTGCTGTTCATTGCAGGATATAATTTAAACTTACTTATCCTAAGTGTTTGATTGTTGGGTTTTTCCAACCGTGTTTATTATGAAGATTTAAAAATATCTGATTGGGCCAGAGGAACAGCTGAAGAAAATTTTTTGTCCTAGGAAACCTTCTCTCATTATAATAGATATTGATAGGAGTTTTGATCTTCTTGATGATTTATGACTGATGATATAGAACTTTTAACCACACTAGTCTTTTTGACTTAACACGGTGAAGCTTTCCCTTTTTTCCCCCCATGTTTTGTCTGACAAGTACCAAATTAGATTTTATAATATTCAGATGTTTAGAGTTGTAGACCTTATTTCATTAAGGTCATGCTGTGTTGTTTTTTAAATAAGAAATAACATGAGGAAAAGTTTTTCTGTGTCAAGAAAATATTGCCTCAAATTATAGCGAATTTACCTGGCAGTTGAAACTCTATAGATGTATGCAGTATTTCTGATATCTGTATAGATGGGTATTCAGAGCTTTGGGGTTATTTTGGGTTCTGAGTGAGCTGAACATTTTCGAGGGTAGATAGGTAGAAGTCCTGCTTAGACCCTTCTATAATAGAATGACTTTCCACAGGGGTTTGAAAGTGGTAATTGGCACTCTTAGGGAATTAGGCAGTCTCTCTGTTCAGGGATTGCTGAAGCATACCATGGTGTTCAGCGACTTTTCCATAAGTATTCTATTATGTTTTGGAATGGTTGCCCCTTTCTTTTGTTCTTTGTGAAGTAGACATATTGATTGTATTTTAACCATTTGCCCTTATAATAAAGGTTTTTCGTTGTTGTTGTTTTGGTGGGAAATCTAGAAAGCAGTATTTGTAACAGTGCCATAGTCTTCTTTACTCTCAGGATACGAAACTTGCTGGTGGGTGTTCCCCAACGTAGCAGTGGAAGCTAACTTTTTTTTCATGGGTCTGTTGAGTAGAGACCAATTTGAGGTTGTTGATTTTTAAATTGGAATCCAGATCCAACTTCAGTCCTACACTAGTGTGAGGATTTGGGAAATTTACTTATATCCTTCCCCTGTTACAAATATCATGATGTTAATATTCTGACATGGGAAACAGGAGAGAGAATGTGGAAGTTGGGTTATTGGAGGTATTTAGTAAATTCCCACTAATTTTTACTACTTCAGGAGCAAGCCTTGTCAGAATCAGTCCCCCAAATCCTGAACAATTTTATTTAATGTTTATTTAAATCACTCACTTTGTGACTTTCAAGGACATTGTAAAATATTACCAAAAAAGAAGAGTGTTGTAATAATCAGTAAGAATGGGCAAGGGCTCTGAATAGACTGCTGTCCAAAGAAAGATGTACAAATGACCAATAAACCCGTGAAAAGATGCTCAATCTCATTAGTCATCCAAACCATAATGAGGTACCACTTACACCTACTAGGATGGCTATAATTACAAAGATAGATAGTAAATGGAGAAATCTGAACCCATTAACATAGCTTTGTGGAAATGTAAAATGGTACAACTTTGGAAAACATTCTGGCAGTTCCAAATGGTTAAACATAGAAGTTCCATATGACCCAGGAATTCCACTCTTGGTTATGGACCCAAGAGAAATGAAAACATATGTCCATACAAAAACTTGTCCATGAAGGTTTATAGCAGCATTATTCACAAGAGTCCAAAGGTGGAAATAACCCAAATGTCTATCAATTGATGGATGCTATATAATCATGCAATGGAATATTATTTGGCCACAAAAAGGAGTGAAGTACTGAATCATGCTACAACATGGACGAACCTTGAAAATGTTATGTAAAATGAAATAAGCCAGACACAAAACACCACATGTTCTATGATCCCATTTATATAATTGTCCAGAATAGGCATAGATAGCTATAGAGACAGAAGATAGATTAGTGGTTACTTAGGGCTGGGAGGGATGGGGGATGATAGCTAAAGGGTACAGTTTTCTTTTGGGGGGTGATGAAAATGTTCTAACATTGATTGTGGTGAGGGC